CTAATAAAATGATTTTAAATAAATAAATAAAGCACAAGGGGAAAAAAAGAGAGAATGCTTCAGATGGACTGTATGTAAAAGATTTCCAGAGGCCAGACTGCATGGGTGGGAAATGGTGTGGGGTGGGGGGCAATTAACAGCAATTAGCTGCTTACTCTGGTAAGCACTTGCTATTTGCTACTTTAGTAACCTAGACAGCATGAAGCTTAGAGAGGTCAAGCAAACTCCCCAAGGACTGAAGAGGTTTCAAGTTCAAGTCCACCCAAGTGAACAGCTTGAGTTCTCCCCATTACTTACCCACCTCCTGGTTGGTCCCCAATACTATGTAGGTGCAGTGTCTTCTCCCAGGCGGCCCACCTCCCACTGTTGGGAGGGTGTTTCTAAATGGTTCCTAGAGCAGTCCCCATTTCGGGGCAAAGCCTGTGGCAGCTGTCACACCTTCTCTGGCCCCCCAGGGACTCTCCAGCTACCGGTGCCCATGGTGGGGGGGGGGGTGTGTGTCTCACTTTCCTACGTTTTATCATTTCCTTTTCTTTACAACAATTCTAGGGGTCAATAGCTGCCCCAAACTATAGACACAATGTCGATTGTTCATGATCATTTTTTTCTTTTTTTTTCATGCTCATTTTACAGAAGAGCAAATGGAGATTTGGTGAACTTACTGGACATCCCTTAGCTTGCCCAAGAAGGGTGCTAATCACAGAAACACGTCTTCAGACTACCAGCCTACGCTCTTCCAATCTCCGCAGGAGCGGGCGCGTGACCTAGAGAACAGGGACCCGCTCACTGCCTTCGATGCCGAGCCGTATGGGTCAGGGCAGAACTAGCTGCCCAGTGGGTTTCTGAGGTTATGACTGTTTGCAGGAAGGTCCGTCAACTCACAAAGCATCAGTCTTTCTCCCTTGGAGCTGCTAGTAATTTCGAACTGCTGACCTTTGTGCTAGCAGCCCAGTGGGTAACCACTGCCTCACCTGGACTCCTTAGAGGGTGGAGGAAAATCCTCAGAAGGGGAAGATAGTGGCTTCCATAAACAAATGTACATCTGCTTTGTGTGTTAATTGTAGCTCACTGAGTACAACCTGGACATTTTTTTAAAAATGGAAAACCGCACACCTGGTCTCCAAGTGGCTGTTATCTGAGCTGGGCTACCAGCCCCCTTGAGGGCAGGGTCCGACCGCCCAGGGCGGGCCATCCCATCCAGAGGGTTCTGCACTGGCCATGCTTGCATCCCCAGCCGCTCTCCCTCAGCTCCTCCCAGAGCTACTGAAAAAAGAGAAAGAGGAAACATGGCCACTAGCCCTCCCAGCCCACAGCAACCTCTGTGTGCTCCAGGGGCTGTCAGTGGCTGAGGCTTCCTGAGTCAGGTCACTGGGCCTCTCCTCTAAGGCCTCTGGGTGGGCTGAAAGCCTGACCTGTGGCTTAACAGCTGAGTGCCGAAGTCTCACCTGGAGTCAACTACTTTTAACATCATTCAAGCCAAAAGGTTATGGTGACCAAAATAGCTAAATAAATGGGGGGAGGGGGCTTCCCCAAAGTGATTCCTATCACTTCCTTTGGCCCGCCCTCAACACTCTCAATTGTGTTTGTGACAATTGCCACTGTCCAGTTAAAGGAACGCAGGCTGGAAGGCTGAGTGGCTTGCTGAGGCCCCTGGTCTCCACACAGGTCCAGAGAGGTTTCCACTGGGTGGGAACCCAGGGGTCATGGAGGTCAAGGGCCCGGTATTGTCCAGCCCTCCTCCCTCCTCCCTTCCCAGAGGCACACACACAGCTTACTCTGGGAACTGCCTTATCAGAGTGGTTCTTCAACAAAGCCAACACTGTGTTATAGAAGTAGCCACAGCCACCCAGACGGGAGGAAAGGGGCCTGCCCGGGTACCCATGACGGGAATAGAGCCCTGGTGGGGGGTGGGTGAGGTGTAGAGGTGTACAGGCTCAGAAACCCAGAGGGGCAGTTCTACTCTGTTCTATAGGGTCACTATGAGCACACTACGAGTGTGAGCTGGCTCGACGGCAGCGTTTGGTTTGTGACAGAGCTATGACCAGACCTGAGGGCCCCTGAGGAGTAACCCCAGCAAGACAAGGCCTGCCAGGTCCAAACATCGTCCGGGCCGTGGGGGTACTCCAGCACGGCTGAGCCTGACTGACCCTCCTGGGAAGTTGGCTCCAGGACCAGCCAGACGCTTGCTTGTCTGGGGCGATCTGCTCTGACAGGCACCGAAATTCTTCTCATTCCAAGGCCCCCTCTTCACAAGGACCTGTCTGGGCTGGGTCTGTCTTGAGATGATGCGGGGGAGTGCACTAGGTGAAGGTTTCCACACACAGGGGGACATACACAGCACAGTCACACGTAAATACCGCACACACACCACGGCACACACGCGTGTGTGCCCTCGCAGTTTGGAGTCCAAAGCCAGCGGGACCGTGCTTGTGGTTTCAGTGCCGCACAACTGACTGAGACTAGCCCTCTGCTCTGTCAGCCCGAGGTTTCCCTGGCACATTGGTGCACGAGCCGACCATGCTTCATAGAGTGGTTGAGAGGGTTAAATGCCATGGTAGGGAATTGCTCAAGCACAATGCCTAGTGTAGCTAGCGTTGTTACTGTCATTTTATTTTTTTATTAATGAATCATTTTATTGGGGGCTCTTATATCAATCCATACATCCAACGTGTCAAGCTCATTTCTACCTACATTGCCATCATTATTTTCAAGACATTTTCTTTCTGCTTGAGCCCTTGGTATCAGCCCCTCTTTCTTCCCCTCCCCCACCCAGTTATTGTCCTTTTAATTCAACACTCCCCCAGAGCTCACAGGTTCTCTCTCTCTCTCTCTCTCTCTCTCTCTCTCATGCTCACAGAGGCTCACTCCCAGCAGCCCTCAGCCAGCTGCCCTACTATCCCAGCCCTAACACCCTCCGACCCCTCCAAGCCACTCCAGTCTGGGCCCCTCAAACCCTCAGCATGGGCCATGTGTGTCCGGCATCCGCCCACCCTCTTCACGGTCCCAACCTCTCATCACCTCCTGCACAATCCAGCACCAGCCCATCTCCTCCAGGAAGTCTCCCCTGATGACCACTAGTTTCCTAGTCTCCTTCCTCCTTAAGGGCCCTGTGAGTCAAACCCACTTTGTCCGCCCCTGGAATTCCCGACTCTGTCAGTGGGAGCCTCTTCCTTCTTCCTCCCTGGAGTTTTTACTTTATTTTTTTAAAGTTGTACTTGCATATAATTCACATATAATGTGATTTAATAGTTCAATCATATTCAGAAAGAGTTATACAATCATCGTCACAACCAGTTTTAACATTTTTTCTTCTTTCTTACTTAACTGTTACTAACTCCCTATAAAGTCTTTTTTTCCCTAAGCAGAATTACTGCACCCTAAGTTCGCCTCCTGATCCCTGTGATACCCCATGTGCCAACGGTTCTAGCCAGTCAGTTGTCACTCATTTGCTTGGGCTGGCAGCAGGGCTGGACCAAGGGTTGCTGGCCGGTGACCCAGCTGGAGAGGCAGGATGATCTCTGAGCCGGTGGAGGGGCTGCCTCGGGCCACAGAGGGACGACGACAGTTAGAAGGAGGAGGGGGTGATGCATGTGGCTGTCACCTCCTTAACAACTGCTGCCCGCTCCATGACACCGTCCGGGAGAACTGGATGGTGCCCAGAGACAACAACTGAACACTCCCATCGAAGATTCTGCCTTCTCAAAACGAAACAGAATCCTATTCAAGAATTCTGATGTAGAACCGAATTTCAGATTTTCAGACTCCGGACTTTCTGGAGGAGACGGACCCTGTGATGGTTAGATTTATGTCAGCCCGATGCACTGATGTGCAGGTGTGTGTGTGGCTCGGTCTCTCTTCAGGACACAGCCTGATGAGGTCTCTGTGGGGCTGGGGCTGGCTGTTAGGTGCCATCGAGTCAGTTCCGACCCATAGCCACCCTGTGCACAGCAGGACAAAACGCTGCACGGTCCTGCGCCGCCAT